TCCACACTTTTTTAGCTGCTTTATGGTCTTAAAAACATTTGGTCATGAATATTGCATTTTAGACTCCATTGTTGTGCGCTAAAATTTTTGAAGCTTTAATATTAAAGTTGTCCATCTTTTTGCAGTATTTACATTAGTAAGAAATTGAAAAACATGTTCTCCTATTTCTTGGAGGTTCTCTTCCAGGCAAATGTTCTGCTGGTACTCACTGTTGAGCATTGTAGGTAAAATAGTTCTCTACTGCATCGCAGTGAAACTGACAATGATACCCCTGGAGGAAGAAGTTTCAGCCAATAGCATCATGTGAAACAAACAACGTGTCTCTCCTTTCATTGCATTTGTTAAATTGTTAACAATAACCCTGCTACCTAATTTTCATGTTTTTATTTCTGTGCTTGAGGATTTTACGAATGCAAATATAATCAGGCCGTATTTTGACACAAAGGGGAAGAAATCCCACTGGCTCCAGATTAACTACTCTTATGTAGCATTTTTGATCATCCAGAATTTGGCAAATTGTTGAATTCAATCTTAAATTTTAAGACTGTCTTTCTGTAATTTCTTAAAAGAACTTACAGCAAAAACAGCTTCAAAATTAAGACTTGAAAAACATTGGTGTGTGCAGGATTCTAGAAAGAAATTCTGTTTGATCTTGCAAACTGGAATTGTTGCATTAATTTTATCTAACCAATTGTTCTTTAAATTCAACTCTCAATATAAATAGAATGGAACAAAATATTTATATGACTGTTTGATAGAGCTGTATATTCAGATACACTGCCTTATTCATGTGTATTGTTGGTACACTGCTGTAATACACATTTGGAAGTTAACTTGTGTCTTTTTTTTATACAGTACTTTTTCTATCTGATGTTATCTTCTCTAATTTAAGAAATAACTGGAGAGTAATCAGACTGCATGAGAATCTCTTTGTCACTCAGCTCATAGCCATGTTTTATTTAAACCAGGAAGTCAGATGTCTAAAGAGTGTGTCTGAAGAGGTATGTAAATTAGTTTATTGAGGTGTACAAGAGAGGTGCTAGAAGAAACGCTCAGATTTGGGTGTAGTATTCAACTTTTTTTAACAAAAAATAATATCTAATTTTTCTCCCACTGGCATGTGCTTCTTTGCTCCTTGCTTGGTCTCATCTACTGGAGTCTTAATTCTTGTGGGCACTGGTACCTCACCCTAGGCCACTGTTCACTAGTGAATCACAGCAATCAGTGTCAGCAGGCCACTTGACCACAGAGGAGGCCACAGCCAAGTCTGACCTCTCCCCATCTGATGCCCATTAGAGGATAGATGAACCAGAAGAGGGATAAGGAGCACCCTGGCTGGTTTCTCTAAACTAACCTTGGGAAAGTTAAGCCAATTTAGCCTCCCCATGAATGCAGCTCTGGTTGAGATCAGCAAACTCAGTTCAGACCAGAATTTGAACTGGCGAGCTTTCTGCTATAACCATTGCAGCATTAGGACTGCCGAGCCTTATGTGGGCTTGTACTTTATGGAGAGTTAAGACTTGCTGAGGGACAAAAGCAGAGGACACCAAGCATCATGAAGGCAGCATTATGCAGTGAGGATATTTAAGCATTATGTTTGAGATCAAAGGTAATAGAGGCCAAGAATGCCAATAGATAATAGATTAAAAGTGAACCGTCAAAGATGAGAGATGAGAGTGTTTGCTTAGACTGGCATAACATGAAGCGACTGTGTTTTTGAAGAACTGAAAGAAACAAGGTCATGGTTTACTGATTCTGGCTCTGCATTGAGAGCAGAATGAAGGTTGTGCGTACAAAGGAATATAGAGTAGGTGGGGTCAGATGATGAGTGGGCAAAGTCATTGTTGTAGAGAAGGGAACGAAGTATGAGACAGAACAAAGCCCTGGGAAACCTCTGAGTTAGTGGAACAACTACAGCACAGCTAGAGCAATCTGAGTGGAATTTAATAGTAATTTTGGTGGAAGACCATCAAATGGAAACTGAAACTGCATTAAAATATATGTCATTTCTATACTCTGCATTTGTCTGTACTAAATTGTACATAATTAAATAGAAAATAGAAAGAACCTTATATCTAAGTAAAGGGGAGTGATCTTGTGAGTGTGGGTCATTAATAGCTTACTCTGCACTGTTGATGTTGGTAAGCGGTTGATATAGAATTGAAAGAGGAAGTACAGGGCATGACATCATGAGTTATCTGACAACTTGGAAGTTGTATTTGTTTTAGCACAGGAAGCAAGCTTGCCAGTGCAGAACGCAGGTGTACTAGGTCCATAATAGTAGAATGACCATAAATCTTTGATTTCTGAGAACAGTCCCCAGATAAGATAATGGGTCCCTGGCCAAATGTGTCCCATCTTGAGTTCCGCAACAAGCTGAGCAAGAACAATAAATTCGAAAACAGATTCACTTATCAAGAGAAATACAGCCATTAATCCAATAAGCTTCTCCAGTACTACCAGCAGCAGGAATTGTGGTGAGTTCAATTTCTTTTGTGTGGCCCTGGATTTGGTTTACAAAATATGGTCACACTAATAATAGACTCTACAAGGAAGGCTCTGTTGAAGAGTGCTATAATGGGATTATTCTCTATCAGCTTCAATTCAGTATTTGAAGCCAATATTAGAATTACAGCTAAATATGATACTTTTACTGTAATTATCATGTCCAGCATCTTACTGTTTCTCCAGCTCAGCTTGTCTCATCGTATGATCTATCCTCATTTCCATATGCAACATTATAGAAAGCACCAAGCAGGACTGAGAATCTTACAGTAGAAAAGTAATCAGGACTTTGATGGCCATCAGTTGTGACAATTAAAAATAATTTAACAGAAGATGTTATGGGGGAGAACCTTTAATAAAGTGCTCCCCTATCTATTGAATGTGGAAAAATATCTCCCCAGACATTATGGTAGACCGTAATTTTTCCATCCCACAATGTTTCTCTGCAGAACTAGCTTTGGCAGGTAACTCTACAGGAAATCCCATGGATCACACCCTTTCCAGCTACGAACAGTGCTCAGGAAATTCAGTATCAAGTGAGCATATAACACTAACCCAATCAATGCAGACTTTTGATTGTTCAGATGTCTTTGTAAATGGTATCTATATTATTAAATGGTATCTGATGTTAAGGTAACATGCTGATCTGCACGAATGTCAAAACAGTGCAAGGCAGCAATGAACTAGGCAAATTGGATACTGGACTATATTGCAAAATCAGTTGAGTTTAGGTCCCCAGAAGTTATACTCAGGCTTTATAGTTCTCTTGTTAGGCTGCACCTAGAGTACTGCATACAATCTGCTTGCCACAACGTAAGGGCCCGGATCCTAGAGACAATGCAGAAGAGAGCAATGAGGATGATCCTCAAGTGTTAAAGGAATAAGCTATGAGCAATGATTAGGCATATGTGAGCTCTTCAGTTTTGAAAAGAGACATCTCAGAGTGGACCGTATAGAGGTCTAAACTTTTATATCTGATTGAAAAGATAAACCCTGAATAATATTTCAGATGTACTAAGACAGTAAAACGAGTGGACAGAGGTTTAGGGTTGCAAAGGGCAAGTTCAGAACAGACACCAGTATGTATTTATTCACCGAAAGAGTGATTAACGACTGGATCCTGTTATCAGTAAGAGTGGTTGATGCCATGGCTCATTTAAGAAATAGCTTGATGTTATGATAGGATAATTGGATGGGTATTCTGAAAGGATGAGAACAAATGGGTCGAAGGGCCTTCTTCATCCAAACCAATGCTGTGATTTCCACTAACTCAGGTTCAGTTGTAGGAAATTGTTTTTCTTTAATTCACATTATGTGCATCAGGAGATGGATAGGTCACTACACATTGAAAATGCTCCTCTTTTAAGGATGTGCCTTGAAGAAATATGTACAAGCCTATAAACATGGAATATGCTCATGCACTTAACTACATTTGAGTTTCTGTATTTAATTTAATTTCAAGTTTAATTAGAAATACAAAACCCACAAGAGTAAAGGATTATTAGAAGTTCTGGGAGGACTATGGTAATTTTGTTAAAACAAATTAAAAGGATATTACAAGTTTTTTAAAAAAAGCGCTTTAGAGACAGATAGAACCAACAATACTGAGCACAAAAAATGTTCTTTCACTAGTACCAGCTAAAGAGGATTTTAAAACTTTTTTAAAAAAATGGCAGTGAAGTACAGGATAATATGAGCAGAAATTCCACCTGGGTCTAGATTTATTCTGTTCATGTAACTTTTTGGAGGGTCCAGAATTTGGCAAATTGTTGAATTCAGTCTCATCTTTTGAGACTGTTTCCTGTGCTTTGTTAAATGAAGTTGCAGAAAAATTGCTTAAAAATTTTGGCTGTAATTTAATAATTTGAAAAATTCTGGATGTTCTAAAATGCTACATAAATTGAGTAAATCTAGTGGATTATTTTACCCGGATTGTCATCAAATTCAGACAGTCTGCTATATAGCCAGAACGGTGGAATAAAAGTGTACAGAAGTTAAGCTAAGGAAACAATATGCCAGTCAATTCTGTGTTCAGTTATGGCCATCTCACCAGAAGAAAAGATTTTCAGAAAAGATCAACAAGACTGAGTCCATGGTTAAAAGAATGAGCTGCAAAGAAAGATTATTTAAAGTTAAATTTTAAAAGTCTGGAATGAAGGTAATATATAATAATATATAATATTAATTGTTTATTAATGAGGTCAAGTTCACAATAAGCCATGAAAGATTGTGAAATGTACATTTGAAATAACATCTGAAAAAAAAATATGTTATATATTTGGAATCATTTACCAAGTAAGTACATAATAGAAGGAAACACTGGGTTTATTCAGAATACAATTAGATGCGGTGTTAATGTTCTGAAAGGATGAATGTCAGTGAGTGAATGGTCTTTTCACATCCTTAACTATTATTATATTGGTCATTCGTCCTTATCAGCAGTTGAAAGAAGCAGAATCGGAGTAATGTAACTTTGTGTTCACTGTTTGGTTTAGGCTGAAAACATTCTGTTCCTGGAATTAGACATGACAACGCCTACAGTATGTGAGCTGGATATCCCACGCTCACAGTCATTACATGGAGCAGTGGGAGGAGAGCCACATTACAGCAGTTCCATCTTCCCAGATCGGTCAGCCTCAACAAGAGTTAGAAAGTCAAGATCATGGTGAGTCTTGAAACAGGCAGTTGGGACTGTTTGCCCTAGGATTCACTGGGTGGTGACTTCTTTACCTACAAGGCCTTCAGGAGAGATGACTGGATTGTACTGTTTTATTTCTCAACCCTGTAAAATGCAAATGGTCTTGTAAGGACAATAGTGCCCCTTTAAAATTCAGAACCGGTAATTTTGCAGGAAGCTACACTTGCTGGACCCCTGAACACATGTAGGATATCCTGTTCAGTAATCTTAGTAGGATTCTTACGTGGTTTTGCAACAGGTTACACCTTGTCAAAATAGTCTGTTCTGAGATACGCAAACCCTGTATTAATTGTTCCTTTCTCTCTTTTAGGTCAAGGCCCGAGAGACGTGTGTCCTCGTCCTCTTCTTTCTCCTCCCTGGCGTCAGGCTCTCCACTGTTGTTTCATTCACATGGGAGGGTACCACAGTGAAGGATACGGAGAAATCCATGCCTGGTCTCTCTATCTCTCCCCTCCCCACCCAATCTCTGTCTCACTATCTCTCCGTGCCAGGATTTATGTCTCTCACTGTCTAGTATTCTCCCTGGCTCCATCAGTCTTTGTCTGCTCTGCTGTGTTGCTTCACACCCTATACAAGCTGGTGTGCAGCACTGACATTACATGTCCCATTATGCATAACGTCAAAACTATTGCAAATAACAGAGTAAGAGAACTAATGAAAAATAATAGAGTAACAGAAACAAATGTTCATAATGGCACTAAACACGCTGCTCAGAATGATGACTCCCATTGTCTATTTTTATCAATTTGCTAAATTAGTGATTAATACTAATGTGAGACCTTCTTTCCTCCCTTCCCAGTATACTGAGCCCTTCTTTCAAATATTGTTCAGTCCTCTGAGAACCTATTTGCACAGAGGCTGTGTGTACTGTCACGCAGCTATCTTTAGTATATAATTCTGCAGTGTAGATCTGTCAAGATTGTGGTTCTCTATTTAACTTGAAGTTGCCATAAATAATCTGGAATATATAATTGCAGTTAATATTATAACTGAAAATGAGAAATTAGGGTAATAGCAGTAAGTAACTAAGTCATTATTTACAGGTCTAAAACAGTGGCTTTACCGAAAGATGGAGAGTTAAAGAGCAGGGCGATGTTCTGACATAGATGAAAATAGAAACATATAGTGTAAGGAGAGAGGTAATGATCACATCACTGGCTTTCCACTCCAATAGTTACACTTCAGGCCCAGGATCAAGTCTAGTTGAAGAAGGCCCCTCTCTGCAGTTTTCTCTGTTAGCTTTCTTGACAGCTTTGTCTACACTGATGGAGTATTTCATCTGAAGACGACAACTGCACTTCATGTTGAATGATCAGAGCCTCACACTTTTAGAGACTATTGCAAAGAAGTCGACAACTCAAATCGTCGACCTACCAAGTCCAAAAGATTATAGGGAGGGAAGCAGTCACAAAGGCAACCTGAAATGACTTCAGCAATGTTGGATTTCACTCAAAAATCTAATGTTAACTGTAGCCTGCTTCATTTTCTTTCACATCACACTGGGATCCATGGCCTCCTCGGATGTGTCATTCTTATCACATCTGAAAAAAGTACATCTGTCTCTGAGAATTTGCCAACATCACCCTTTAGTATTAGTAACAATATGTAATCAGCAAACTGCATATGCTTATACCTTCCCACACTAAACTAACTAATAGCCTCCTGTGTTTGGTTCAATCTGTTTTTCCATGAAATATTGCATGTTTGCAATACCGTGAGAGCATGTTTCAGCCATGGCCTGTTTTCCATGTCTAGTTGCTACATTTAATTGATTACAATTGAGTGAGACAGTTAATAAAACAAATTGGTGGCTGCTGCATACAGAACTTGCGTTGGTTAGATAGGCTTTATGTGAAACAAGATTATGAAGCATACATTGAGCATTTATTTGATTAAAGATTGTACCTCAATAAGAAATGCTGAATCTGACTGCCGTCATTCACATAGCATCTCATGTGAAGTGCTTTGCTACAATTTTCTTATTTATAAAAAAAAACCTTATATTGAAAAAGATGGGTATATAGAAAAAACACCACAATTTACTGCTTCAATCTGCCAAGGAAAGTTAAATTAGAGGGAGCAAATTTATTCCTTTTTTTAAAAAAAATACCTTTTTACGTCCAATTTATTCAGGAAATATACTTCACATATTTCTGTTTGTCAGGTTAATGTATTCCTTTTTATCATTTATACAATTGTCTTACAAAAGAAGGCACCTGCACAACTATTCTTAGGTGGTTTAACCATCTAATTGTTAACTTAGTTGCTTTGCATTGTTTATTTTAAATCCCATCTTATTTTTATTGCGACCTATGACATGACTTGGTTAAATAGTAGCGGAGGTCATTGATAAAGCTGCACGTGTAATACGAGTTTCATTATTTAACTGGGGGTGCCATCATTAGGAAAGGCTTCATCCAGTGAATGTCTTGCTGGTATTATTTATCCATAAATCTTACTGAAATATCATTTGAAAACCAGGATAGGGTAATTATTTGTAAAACACGGAGTAAGAGCAGTTGATAAAAATCATGGTATTTGAAACATGCTTTTTGAGTAGAACATGCACTTTTGAGGGAAAGTATTTCTTTCCTTGCAGCATTTGTTACAAACTGGACCAGACACCAGGAAGCTTTTCTTTACCAGAGGGTAATTAACAATGGGAAAAGTTGTCATTAAGGGTGGTTGAGGCCAGGACAGTGGACTCATTAAAAAAAATAGCTTGACAATGTGTAGCTAGGATGGGCATTCTGGAAGGATATTGATAAATAACCCATCTTCTTCTGAATCTCTCTTATGAGTCATTCTGCTGATCTCAATAGCACTATATAAGTGCAAATTGTTGTTGAATTTGAGTGTGATTATAGAAGCCTTCTCACACGTATCTGAGAGCAATGCACTGAAGTGATATTCTGATGTTCCTGCCCCCTTAATTTTTTTTAGTTCCAAATCACCTGAACTTGTACTGTAGTTTTAATTAGAGACTTGGATTATATCATGGGAAGCGTAACATAGATTTATTTGAGAATTACGTGCCCATCATAAATGTTGAAAGTAATGTTGTTGCAGAATCTGTTCTTTTGTATCACCCAGTTGCAGTTTTTGCTCTTTGGGTTGAAGACATGTCTACACGTTTGTCTCATTAATGAACCAGAGAAGCTGGACACTGTTAACAATGCCTCCATGTCCTAGCACCTCCTCATCTGTCCAATCTTCTACCCCACTCCTCTGCTCGGAAATGCAAGCTTGCTGTGCAACTTGATGTGCACAATTGTCTGCCGCGTTCGCCCACAAATATACAGTCAATTCACTTTACAGTATATTCTGTGAAGCGCTTTGGGACGTCTAGAAGATGTGAAAAAGCGCTACATCAAATGCAAGGATTATTATTATTATTTATATCCTGCCCTCTCTGCAACATTATTGGCGGCCATACCTTCAGATCCTTCATCCCTAACCTCTGGGTCTTCTGATACCCCTCCGTCTCTTTCCGCCCCCACACTGTCTTTAAGTTTTGCCAAAAAACCTACCTCCTCGGCCTTGCCTGTGGCCACATTCGCCCCCCCCCCCTTGCTTAGTGGCCAATCGTGTCCTTGTAAATGTATTCCAAGACATTAGCCAGTATGAAAGGTGCTATATAAATGCAAGTCATTGTTGCCCCCCACCCCCTTCTGGGCCAAGTCCGATGCTCAGCTGACTGAGGACTTGTGAAGGATGCATGTTATGGGTATCATTCACTCCGATAAACATTTTTAATACTTGGCTTCTTTATAATCAAAATCAGCTTTGTTAAAATATAATTTTTTTTTACAAATGATACTTTTGCAGTACACAACAGCAGGAATCCAAACTATTAACTTCCTGTCTGTATGACTCAGTTATTCAATTTATGATTTTGCTGCATGAACTAGTGTTATGTTTATCTATTTCACAACTGAAACCTCTTGTTCAGCTTGTGGGCATATGAGCACGCTATGCTGGGCAGGCACCATACAACCTCAGATACACTGTAAGAGAAATAACAGAGAAGACATTGAATAACAGATTGGTTTATTGACTTTTTTCCATTTTTCCATTTTTCCATCTGATTCTTTTACAGAGGATAAAGACAAGCTGTTATACATATTTAGTTTGTATTTTGTGTTTATTTAACAAAGGAAGGTCTTGGAACAGTTGAAGAGAAGGATTTTGAAATGTACCTTGAAGGAAGCAAGGAATGGAGCAAGGCAAAGGGACTGTGGGATGGCGTTCCAAAGGGTGGGGGCAGAGAGGCTGAAGGCCCGACTGTTGATGGTGGGGCGGGACTGGCGGGGGCGTGGAGCAGGCTGAGTGGAGGGAACGGACAGGTTGAGCATTAAAAATAATACAGACAATGGATATGGTGCCAGATGGCATTTTTTTTATTTCACTAATTTGTTTAAAATATGTTAAACTTGTACAATACCTTTATGTTTTGTTCTGTAATCTAAAAGTTATCATGCTTGCATAAGCTTGTTTTGTGATATTTTGAAGTTTCAGTTGCTACTGACATGTCTGATATACTCCTTGCAACTAACAGAATGATTTCCAACTGATAGACTCTTTTGGCTGTGCTTGAAACACAGGTTTTGCTCTACTTTGAGCAGACTGCTGCCATGTCCCTCACTCCAGATTGATAGCTTATGCAGTAACTGCAATATAGACAATAATAATAATAACCCTTGCATTTGATATAGCACCTTTCACATCAGGAGGATGTCTCAAAACCCGTCACAAGATATACTGTAAAATGCAGTGACTGTGTATTTTGTTAGTGAAGCCGGCAGCAAATTTGTGCACAGCAATGTCCCACACATAGCTATAAAGTGAATGACCAATTTTATTTGGAAGGTTGTTGGTTTTTGGAATAACATCGTGGGATTTTTTTCATGTCTACCTGAACAAGCAGATAGGAACTCAGTTTAACCTCTCATCTGAAGATTGCACCTCCAACAATACAGTACATCCCCTTGCACTGTATTGGAGTGTCAGCCGAGGGTATGAGTTCAAAGCCTAACCCACAACCTTCTGCCTCAGAGGCAAAAGTGCTACCAACAGAGCCAGGCTAACAATTCAATTTAAGAAGTTCTGTTGTCTTTTCTCACCTGTATTTTCCTGCAGATGGCTTAGTTTGGGAGGGGGAAGAAAAGTAATTATATTATAGATTATATGAAGGATAGAGGGATTAAGGGATATGGGGATGAGGCGGGCAGATGGAGTTAGGCTAGAAGATCAGCCATGATTTTATTGAATGGCGGGGCAGGTTCGAGGGGCCGAATGGCCTACTCCTGCTCCTAATTCCTATGTTCCTATGGTTCCTATTATGAATACTGATATTCAGGCCATTCTAGTCTGTGAGAAGCATATTGCTAATGTATCAGATGATAATTTAGAATTACTGTGTTATGGAACGCTGAATCCCAAGTGCAGAAACAGTAACAATTAAACATCGACAATTCTTTCAAGTAAATGTCAGTTTATAATAGAAATGTAATTATGATGTAGGGAATAAAAATGAATGCCTGGGGCTTTCTGATACAAATTAATTCGCCATCCACTGATAGAATGGAGATTGCATTCTCTGTCTGTTGTCTCTCCTTATATAAAATGTGCAGGTCTGGTCATCATGACTTCTAATCACCATATATCAGGATCCATTTTGTCTACTTCAATGGCAATTTAAACATTGCCACATTTCTCCTAAAGAAGTCCTGGATTATTACTAGACTATCTAGAAGCTTTGCTCTAAATGAAGCATTAACTGGAATCTGCCAAAGTTCTTTGTAGTAGCAGTGAACAAGGACCAAACTAATAAGAACATAAACATAAAGGTAGGTGGTTGTATAAATGCATACATTTGTATTCCATCTTTTGCAATTACTGATTTAGTTCATTTTAAATTGATCATTTCTGATCAAAACCAAATGAATCCTACATAACTCCTTTGTGGTTCTGGAGCTCATTTTACACAGTGTTGTGATCACAAGTTTGAGTCTCAACAAGTTGTATGAAAACATTTCAGTTTATAGCCAGGACAAATGATTGAACATGCAATTTGTGGGGAAAAAAAGGTCTTTCAGTTAAATCATGCAACTTAAATTGTGTGAGAAATCAAAGAGGGAAACTTGAAGGTTCATAAAATGAAAAATGCAAAGCTCTAGACCGTATTTTGTTTATTTCTGTGTTTGTATATATCTGTAATTAAGCTCATGTTAACAGTTGTAAAAAAAATTGAGAAACAAATTGATGTACAAAGATTCAAGGTTGCCGTTATTCTCAGAGAGAAGTGGATGCTTAATCATTCTCCCAGATGGTTCTCACCTTGCATGTGCAGTATCAAAGGCTTTGCGTTGTACTCAGGAATTAATCGTACCTCTGGACAAATACGCCAAGAATCAACCACGGTGTGTGTTGCGGACTCAGTGTATGATTTATCGTGTGTGCTCGAGGGATTGTTTCTGATGCTCATTCATTTTATTCAACATTCTCGGGGGGGGGGGGGGGGGGGAGGAAATGCTCCAGCTGGTGTGCTTTTCGCCCTTCAGTGTTACAGTGCTCCTTGTGTGCTGTATGCACTTCAGCTGCATGCTTACTTACCTCAGGAGAAACAACTCCCATCAACAAATGGCAAATTCAAGTAAGAAGCTCATTCAGCTGTGCAAAGTCTGCTGGTGATTTATTATATCAGGACTGGATGAGTTGGAGCACAACTATATGACTTTTTGGTTTGCAGACATATCCGGGCCAAGAACTTGCTACAATTGGAGAGATTTACTAAAGAGTTTCTTCCGATGCTCTGAGTTGGCATATTTTGGAAACTTCTAATTGTTGGCACTGAAATTAAGCATTTCTGTGTTAATTCAAG